GATGACACCATCAAACCGGGACCCGTATCGCTCCAGGACCGATTGAAGGTCTGCCTAAATGAGTACGTTTACTACGATGAAGTGGGCATTCTTTTCACCAGACTGCTGCAAGAAAGTCGAGACTACCTGGCCACGCTGAAGCAGCACAAGATCCAGTTCGTGGAGTTTGAGAGTTTAAAGGTGTTGAGCTTGGATCAGATCTTCCAGCTTTGCACGGTGATGTCGGATAACACAAAAAACAAGTACGGCTTGAAGACGAAGATTGCCGAGATGATGGAGGAACGGCGACGGGGACTGCTTAACTCACATGCCAGCACGTCTTTGGAGCAGAACACCCTTCACATCAGTACCCAAGCATCGCTTTCGGGAGCGGTAGTCAGTTTGCACTGCCTGCCGGAGAAGTTGAATCCGGTTGTTAAACCACTGATGGAATCTATCAAACGTGAAGAATGTGAACTCCTGCAGAAACTGTCTGCCAAATATTTGGCCGATCTGCTTGGACAAATTACGGTTCGCAATCCCTGTCCGAACAGCAAGATTGTTTCCAACCTCTGTACCTTGCTGAAAAGCGACCTTGAATTCACACCGAAATTGGTTATTCCGGAGCGGGAAATGCGCCACTTTGATCCGGCCAATACGGCTGACACTAATTTGTACCATGGAATAATAACACTCATGAATCAACAGAAGTCCAAGGAAGGTAACAACGGTACTGCTTCTCGAGGCCCCGGCAGGCCAGCTTCGGTTACCTCGGATACTCCAACGGCCGAAGATATCCTCAACGAAAACGAAGAAACTAGTCGCAAGCACGCTCGTACTCAGCGGCTTGGTGCCACGCATGCCATAACCACAATCTGCTCGTACTTCAAGGAAACCCTGCCGCAAAAACTTCCCGTCCTGTGGCAGCTGATGACGGAGAAGATCATAACCAAAGTAGATGAAGTTTACGTCGATCGACTCAGTAGGGAGATCGTGAACCAAGAAGATACCAATGACTTCATGACGTCGCTGCAGCTGATCGAAGTTGCCTCGCGGCATATTGATCAGGCCCTACACGATCAACTGTTCCAGTTGCTACCGAAGCTCTGCCTGCTGCTGCGGCATCCGTTGAAGGCGATTCGTCATATGGTCGGTCGGTGTTTGGGTACGCTTGCCGTAGTTGATTCCCAGGTCGTCATGACCATGGTCATCAACGATATCGTGCCCATGCTTTCGTCAATCGAGAACGTGATCAAGCGACAAGGCGCTGCAGAAGCTATAGCCTGTATCGTCAGCAAGCTACAGATGGAAATTGTTCCGTACGTGGTGCTACTGGTTGTTCCTCTACTGGGCCGTATGAGCGATCCCGATCAATCGGTTCGACTCGTATCGACCCATTGCTTTGCCACACTAATTCAGCTGATGCCCCTGGATGGGATCACTCCCGATGTGCGGGGACTTTCCGAAGATCTCAAGAATCGCAAACTCAAAGACAAGGAATTCCTCGAGTATCTCTTCACGCCCAAGACGATTCCGGACTTTAAGATACCGGTCAAGATCAATGCCGATCTGCGCAGCTATCAGCAGTCGGGAGTCAACTGGTTATGGTTCTTGAACAAGTACAAATTACATGGGATTCTGTGTGATGATATGGGTCTCGGAAAAACCTTGCAGGCGATCTGCATTCTTGCTGGGGATCACTACCAGCGCAGTGTCGATCCGAAGTGTGCTAAGCTGCCGAGTTTGGTGATTTGTCCACCGACCTTAACTGGTCATTGGGTGTACGAGGTGGAAAAGTTCTTGCCAACTCGCTTCCTGCGACCGCTGCACTATGTTGGCTTACCGGTGGATCGTGAACGACTTCGTCACAAACTGGGAACGTACAATCTGATCATTGCGTCCTACGAGATCGTTCGCAAGGACATTGAGTTCTTCAGTTCCGTTCACTGGAATTATTGCGTACTTGACGAAGGTCACATAATCAAGAACGGTCGAACGAAGAGTTCCAAAGCTATCAAACAATTGGTTGCGAACCATCGGTTGATCCTGTCGGGAACGCCCATCCAGAACAACGTGCTGGAACTGTGGTCGTTGTTTGACTTCCTGATGCCGGGTTTCCTGGGAACGGAGAAGCAATTCAGTACCCGGTTTTCCCGTCCGATTCTGGCGAGTCGCGATCCAAAGAGCTCTCCAAAGGAGCAGGAAGCTGGAGCACTGGCCATGGAAGCCCTTCATCGGCAGGTGCTTCCGTTTTTGTTGAGGCGTGTGAAGGAAGATGTGCTAACGGATCTGCCTCCGAAGATTACACAGGATTTGCTGTGCGAGCTGAGTCCACTGCAGGAACGGCTGTACGAGGACTTTAGCCGGACGCACCTCAATTCGGACATACGGGAGTGTCTGGAAAATATCGACGGGCAGATCGTCAGCAAGAAGACGCACGTGTTCCAGGCATTGAGGTGAGTTATTTGATGTTGTGCGGTTACGAGATGAATGGTTCTAATATTCAATTCTTACAGGTATCTGCAAAATGTTTGCAACCATCCAAAACTAGTCCTGCAGGCATCGCATCCCGAGTACCAAACTATTACATCGGAAATTAGTCGTAGCGGAAGCTCGCTGGATGACATCGAGCACTCTGCCAAGCTGCCGGCTTTGAAGTAAGATGATTCATTTTTATATCGATTTTATACATGCTCAACGGATGAATTTCTTTTCAGGCAACTGCTGCTCGACTGTGGCATCGGGACCAACGAGGACATGTCGGTCAATCAGCACCGGGCTTTGATTTTCTGTCAACTGAAGGCCATGCTGGATATCATCGAGAATGATCTGCTGAAGAAGCACCTGCCTGCCGTGTCCTATCTGCGGTTGGACGGAAGTGTCCCACCTAGTTCGCGTCATCAAATCGTGACCAAGTTCAACGGTGATCCCAGCATCGATGTGCTGCTGCTGACAACTCAGGTAGGTTGTTTCGTGACTTTAGTAAAATAATTGAAGTGTGTATGCTATCACGTAACTCAGGGATTAGGAATCTTGAACTGGACAAGATTTTCAGGATACATTCGCTTTGATGAACTTAATATTTAGAGAATTTTGGAGAGATTTTATAATGAATTCTGGATATTGCAACAATGTATTTCAGAGAAAAATACCAAGATACTAAGAGAGATTTCACTAGAACTGATTTGTGTGAGTTCAGAGTAGAATCGTTAGGTAGTTCTTTTGGAAAGTTCATGATGGTTGTGAAGAGTATTCCATTTTCATTTCTATTGAATATTAAAAATAAGTTCTGAGAAGAATTTTATGAGGGTTGTGATGAAAATTCCAATGAAATGCTGAGGGTATTGAGTTCCTAGAAAATTTAAAGATAACTTCAAGTGAATTACAAGGAAATCTCGCGATAAATACCAAGAGGATCGAATTTTGATGGGACAATTCCTAAGTAATTCTGAGAAGAATTTTATGAGAATTCCGAGAATAATTCTACAGAATTCTAAGGAGAATGCCATGTAAATTTTCAGAAGAATTTAGAGGAGATTCAAAGATAATTATGAGCAGAATTGTAAGACAATTCTGAGGCTAATTGCATGGACATTCTATGGAGAATTCAGATATATTATAAATAGAGGTATGGAAAGAAACTTCAGTGAATTCTTTTGAAGCGAATCTTAGGATGAAATACTTGATTTTTTTGAGTGTTCAGAAATGCTATAAAGACATTTTGAAAGTACTTGCAAAGAGAACTTCAACTTAATATTAGAGAAACTCTGAAAAGAGCTCTGTGATCAGAAATTTTTCTAAAGGAACGTTGAGAACATTTCATAAAAATCATGTAAAGAGTTCTGAGCGAACTTTTTCAAGGTAGTTAAAACATAGAAGCAGATAATCGAATGCGATTGCGCCGAATAGATCACTCGGTTAAGTGGGTTATAATATAGACAGTAGAAGTTTTTGTGGCGCGTATATATAGTAAAAAACGGGAAATTGCAAATCGAGATTGGCTGGTCACAGTCACCATGCGTAACCAAGTGATTTTATTTTTTAAATTTGTGCCTCGTTCGTTCTTTCAAATCTACCATGCGCCTCCATGATATCTCATCATACGATGGAGTTAGTACAAAACTAAAATTGCCGTACTCTCTTCATTCAGGTCGGCGGTTTGGGGTTGAATCTAACCGGAGCGGATACGGTCATCTTTGTCGAGCACGATTGGAACCCGATGAAGGATCTCCAGGCCATGGACCGAGCTCACCGAATCGGTCAGAAGAAGGTGGTAAATGTCTATCGTCTCATCACCCGAAAGTCTCTCGAGGAGAAGATCATGGGACTGCAAAAGTTTAAAATTCTAACGGCCAATACGGTGGTGAGCGACGAAAATGCCTCGATGGAAACAATGGGCACGGATCAGCTGCTGGATTTATTTGCGCTGAGCGATGGCGGCCGGAGGGCGGACAAGGTTGACAAGGGTTCCACGAGCGCTGGTTCCACGGCGGCTGCCGGAAGCGACGCTAATGGTGCCAACGGGTCCACGATGAAGAACGTACTGGAAAATTTACCGGAATTGTGGGACGACAACCAGTACCATGAGGAGTACGATCTGTCCCAATTCTTGGAAGGACTGAAGAAAAACTAGTCCCCGAGTGAGTGTGTTGTGAGAAATGATATGCTTTTTGCTTAGTCGGTAAGAACGATTGGAATTGGAGCGTTGAAGCTCTAACTTTAGTTTTTAGATTTTTCGTTTAAGTAGCGCTGAACTAAGATTGATATAAGCTTTCCCCTTTCAATCCATTGTCTATCCTTTCATCTCTGTTCAAATTCTTCCAGATGCGTACAATTCTCTGTTATTCCCTTAAACTTGGTAGTTTTGAAGTATTGCTCTTTCCCATGATAAATTATTACCGAAAATATAATTGAAATTAATTATCCACTACGGTTAACAATCTTAGAATACAGCTTTTGAATGAAATCATTTCGGGTAAAATTTATGCGATGACCACTCCTTTCTATTAGAAGCAATGTGAATGATATGGATAAGTGCCCTTGGACTTTATCAACCGACCGCATCGTCACGTGTTGGAAGTATTTTCTTTTCTTTAGTAAGCCGTCATTAATACCATTCAACAATGTTTATTTAAAGATAACTACCTAGTACGTTCACAAACTCTACATTTCGCCTTACCACTTGACATACAAGTAAAAGAAAACAAAACTAACTGCAAAATAATGTTTCGCCAAGCTTATCATCATCAATCCGTATCGATGAGGTTCTCTTCTTCCGGGATGTTGTCGAAGATCCAATCCAGCGACCGTGGACTGGCGTTGCAATATTCGTACGACCTGGCCAACCGTACGTCGTTGACTTCGTAGATTCCGATGTCGGAACAGGTGCGGAAGTGTTCCTGCGGGCCACAGCCCATTTTGCCTGTGCCGTCACCGCACCAGCCCCAGTTGTTGCCTGCCGGTGGGTGAGAAGGTGGAAAGAGAAAATGGTCATTTTACTGGGTTACGAGTAATTCCTCAAATAATAAAATGGCTCGAAATGAAGGACTGGGATCTGTTAGAGATGAGTGTGGAGATTTGAGACTTCGTATTATTTTATATTTTTATTTAATATTTGAAAGAAATGCCATTGAAACTAGGGGAAATGACGATTTCGACAGGCAATTAATGTTTTCAGTATCAAAATAAATATTCAAAATACTTTCAAACACGCGATTCAGGCGTTATCTGAAAGAATCTTCTGAAGCTTCTAAAAGACGCTTCTAGACAGGTGATAGTCTAGTAATCTCAAGTCCGCACTCGGTCACAATTTGTATTGTGATTAATCAATAATGGGTAAAGTCTGAAATTTCAGATCAATTTGAAACAACGGGAACTTGGAGTGTAGAGTGTAGTGTAGGGTCCAATATCCGATAATAATTAAAAATACACTTTAAAAGTACTCTGTTGCTTTCCGGCGTTTATTTTGCATTTTTAAAACCAGAAGCATCAAAAGAAAGAGAGAAAGGAGAAAAATTATTTGATTAACTCTTTCAGGATCGAGACTGCTTCGAGACTCAATCAAAATTCGCCCTGTTTTTGAAAACAAACGCTCTGATGGCACCGAGGTTACAATCCTTGGGAAAAGCTTCAGTGCTGCCTGGTATAAAAATGGAAATCTGCTCTGTTGCTGCTCTCAGTACCGAAAAATGTCATACGTCATTGATTCGATTCCACTCCTCATATACATGTCAATTTCCTTGCGAATGGAGTCTGGCGTTCGCATTGTTACCCTTCGCTTGTTGTAACGTTTAACCATGCCTTCGTGGTAACTCCAAATCCCATTATCGGTAGGGATCTTCCTCGGCGGCTCCTCGTCAACAAAATCTTCTTCATCAGATCCTTCATCTTGCGGTAGGACCATGTGGATGATTATTTCCGTAGCAGCGTTGCGTTCACTCTTGAAATGAACATCTTTAAATCGAGGATCCAGAAACATACTTGGTCCATAAACAGGCGAGGCTCGGTAGTTTTCAAATCGGGATTGGATTTCTCTTAACAAGGATGCTTGGAGGTTTCTTCTAACCGATGATACTGACTTCATAGCAGTGATGCAATTGGCCAGGCAGTTTATGATAGGCAGCACCCGACTTACTGTCGCATAATCTTGACCGCTCAAATCTTCAGTTACTTCGTTAAGGGGCTTTACTGCCCTGTGCGGCATAACAGTCCCATTAGCATTTTTGGCGATTATGAGTTATACATTGGAATCGATTGTCAAGTACCATCACTTTACTATGTACACGAAAAAATTCATACTTTGTTCAGAAAATGTCGCGAAAAATAACAAAACTATGTTGTCCCATCCATAAGAGCCCATGGAGAAAAAAATCTTCAACAGTGTTTTTCTCAGCTTGCTGCTTTAACGAATGGGACAACTATGCTGAAAAGGGCAGTTTAGTAGCTTGACGACTTCCTCCAGATTTCTTTTTCCCTCCAAATTAACCATTTCTGAGGAGCGATCTTGGTCCGACATAATGATCTGTATGAAGTTGTACAGCTCTAGAAACCGTTTAACCATGATAAACTCCGAGTTCCATCTGCTAGGCACAAATGAAGTAATTTTCAGAGGTGTTCTTTTGGCATCATCTTCAATCTGTAGCTTGTGCAGTTTATCTGTTGCGATTGTTGATCTCCGGAAAAAGGCAACTATTTTCTTTACTTTATCTATCAGTTCTGATAGAGCGTTTGTAGTTACAAAGGATTTTTTCGCAACGAGATTGATAGCATGGGCTACACAGCCAATATGTTCATCTTCAGAGAATGTATCCGCAACAGATTTTAACATATCATGCCCACATATCTTTGGGAATTGCCCAATTAAACAGAACTTCCTCAAAGCAAGTTGAAATGTATGCACTATTGTTCCGTTCATTCATGGTATAAACGACCAAGTCAATCGTTTGGAGACTTGTAGAAATTTGAGGGCTCAAAAAGTGACAAGTTACTCCCAAATAGCTCCTAGTAGTATGGCTATCGGTCCAGGTGTTTAGCAGTAATGGTCAAGTCTTTATCTTGAATTTTTGTTTTGACAAACTCGACCACTTTCGAATACTTGTCGTCAACTAGCTTTGCCATGAGTTGTACGGTTGGGAATTTTGTATTTAGGTGCCAGAATTTTCAATAAATTAACAGAACCTTCGTCTTCCACAATCGAGAACGGTTGATAATTTTTCACAATCATGAATCCATTCTAGTCCATCATCTAGAATGTTACAATTAATTTCCCATTATTAATAAAATAACACGAGCTTAATAATCGTGCTATAATATATATTATTTGATAACTGGTTCTGCGTCATATATATCTAAGGAGCATACTACCATTTAGAGCTGGAAAAAGCGATCCAAGACTTATTAGACAAGAATATTTGTAAGACGGGCTTCAACGTAGAGTCGTGTTCTTCCCCTGTAGTACCATGAACAAGCAAATCATCCATATACACGATCACCCCTTTTATCCCCCTGAACAACGGCGTATAATACCTCTTGGAGACCAGTTTCATCCATATCATCTTATATTATCATGCATACCGAAAAACCTGGCATAGTGGGAAAAATGTTTGGTATCAGAAAATAATCTGTCAAACTACTACAACAAACCCATACAATACACAACACGACTTCTCGGATATTCTACGGAGTTGGAAGATCTACGGTCCTTTCAAATATTTTACTGACTTTATTAATAATAATAATAATATTTTGACAAACTTCTTGGAAGTTTAACGGACTTTTCGGAACCAGTTATCTAGTTTTTGCGGAAGCTTTTGAACGGAGTTTGACTGGAAACCTCCATAATATAATTCCAAATTCGCTTTACCCATAGTCAATATTTAAAAACGAGTGAATTTCTAACCTCAAACTGAATTTAAAACAAAAAAATAACATAAAATACCGGTTCAAAGTTGCGTTTCTTTAAACATTAGATCTATTGTGGATGCCGATGTGGATGGTTCTGCAGATGTGAAGCTTGTACTGGGACTGGAGGTTGAGCCAAATCTTGTTCCTGATCCTGACACTTGGATGCATTTTGCGTTTTGTCCTTCTGCGGATGCTTCTGGAGATGAACTTTCAAATTGATGGTATTACCAACAATCAATACGAAACTAACGATTTTAAATTGGCTCACCACTTTAGTAGCCTATTGGTCCCAAGCAAACGATTAACGTACCCTATTCTAGTTGAAATTCTATTACTACACTATGTTTGTTTTGATTCGCTATGAAAGTTTGACAGATAACATCAGGGGTGTGTGGATTCATGCAGAACATGCAGGGGTGAGTGAAATAGCTTGGGACTGCTTGGGACCGTTGTTCTGGTACTGAGTGAGCCAAAAATAATAATGATTTTCTTCGGGACCCAGTGGTCTTAGAGTTACCTCTATGGTATTACCATAGAGGTAACTCTAAGACCAGAAGGTCCCGAAGAAACGAGCTCAACTTTTTGGCTCAGCTCTGGTACTATCTTCGGTCTCAAGTTAATCGATTCACCCTTCGAAACATAGGAAAATCCAATAACCCCTCATTTTATCTGTCAAACTTTCATAGCGAATCAAAACAAACATTGCGTAGTACTAGAATTTCGACGAGAATGGGGTACGTTAATCGTTTGATTGGGACCAATAGGCTAGTCAAGTAGTGAGCCAATTTAAAATCGTTAGTTTCGTATTGATTGTTGGTATTACCAACAATCAATACGAAATTAACGATTTTAAATTGGCTCACCGCTTTAGTAGCCTATTGGTCCCAAGCAAACGATTAACGTACCCTATTCTAGTCGAAATTCTAGTACTACGCAATAATTGTTTTGATTCGCTATGAAAGTTTGACAGATAAAATGAGGAGTTATTGGTTTTTCCTATGTATCGAGGGGTGATTCGACAAGCTTGGAACCGAAGATAGTACCAGCAACAATCAATACGAAACTAACGATTTTAAATTGGCTCACTACTTGACTAGCCTATTGGTCCCAAGCAAACGATTAACGTATCCCATTCTAGTCGAAATTCTAGTACTACGCAATGTTTGTTTTGATTCACTATGAAAGTTTGACAGATAAAATGAGGGGTTATTGGTTTTTCCTATGCTTCGAAGGGTGAATCGATTAGCTTGGGACCGAAGAAAGTACCAGAGCTGAGCCAAAAAGGTAGGCACGTTATTTTGGGACCTTCTAGTCTTAGAGCTACCTCTATGCTAGTAGAGTGCACTGCCCACCGGTTGATGTTGAAGTCTGGCCAAGTAAGTGGGTTAGGGTCTAATGATGCCTGAATGGACAATACAGTGCAAGTGGAGTTTTAGGTTTTTGAGTTAACAGAGGCAGAACGAGGAGGGACCACTTAGGGAAAGCATTATGTTCACACTAGAAGCATAGAGGTAACTCTAAGACCAGAAGGTCCCGAAGAAACGAGATTAACTTTTTGGCTCAGCTCTGGTACTATCTTCGGTCCCAAGCTAATCGATTCACCCCTCAAAACATAGGAGAATTCACTAGCCCCTCATTTTATCTGTCAATTTTTCATAGCGAATCAAAACAAACATAGTGTAGTACTAGAATTTCGACTATAATGGGGTACGTTAATCGTTTGCTTGGGACCAATAGGCTAGTCAAGTAGTGAGCCAATTTAAAATCGTTAGTTTCGTATTGATTGTTGCTAGAAGGGTTCAGACCGGCTGAGCTGTTCGGTGGTAGTATGACCTTTCTTTCAAAACCCATTTTTTCTCTAGAACAATTTCTTGTTCTGCATTATTCACATGTTGCAATTATAGAAAACAGCTCGATATAAATTAGCGTAAAATAATTAAATATAAATGCCGAAATCTTACCGAGTAGTTCAGCTGTTCTGATTTCGGTTCAGTTAGTTGAGATCGGGTATAGTGTGTGAGTATGTTTGTGGATTCCAATTTTGAAATAGCT